AAATTTGTGTGTTCTGACTGTAATGCCAGCTATGTCGGAGAAACTAGCCGAAACTTTTCAACACACGTGCGCGAGCACTTGGCAATGGATAGGAACTCTCACATATTAAAACACCGCAAATGCATGCAAGCTTGTAGTGAGGACTGTTTCCGTATTCTTCACTCCGCCCCATCAATTCATTATCTCAAAATAAAGGAGGCATTACATATTCAATGGGAGCAGCCCTCACTCAACAAACAACTTTACCATGTTAATTTAACTTTGTCATTCTGATTTTACTTCATTCCGTTTACCATTAATTATACATTGTTTCTATTCATGATCTATTCATGATGATTGACGTATCACAAACTTCACTTCGTTTAAATAAGATTGCCTATATGGAATCTCTGTACACTGACTGTCTCTTATACACATCTAGATGTGTATAAGAGACAAGGGCAAAGGTCATGTTTCTAAATTTTATTTTGTCTTCTTTAGCAATTGACACAATCTATAATAGTTTCATTTATTTTCCCACCTTAACTTTTAGACAATTTCACTATGAAACAAGCATGTTCATTTTGTGGATTTGTTATTTATGTGAATTTTTAGTTTTATATTGATAATAAATTTATAATGTATAAATAAATTGTATAATGTGTATACTTGCATTTGCCATATTTACATCAAGAAATTTTCAAGTGGAGAACATAATGCAGCACAAGACCAAATGTTAACATCTCAAGGTATGAATTTACATTTGTATTGATATAATTTAAAAAAAAAGAAATATAAAGTCTGAATCTTGTATTGTGTACATATATTGACAGACAGACAGGGGAGTAGATAGATAAATATTCTTTAAGACCAATTTTGGAAACTTGGGATGATCTTGAGGTTTGGTCTCCAATTAGTGTTTAATAATTGAAGAATAATTGTTAGTACTTTGAAGAAGTAATCTTGAAATTAAGACTATACTTCAGTTTTGCATTGAAGGGTGGAACTGAATGTTATCATTTGTTTGCCCATAGAGGTCTCCACAATATTTGTTCAATAAATTCCAGAGAGCAGTTAATCTGGTGGTAGCCACTTAGCTGTTTAGGTATTTGGACATGTCATACTTAATACCTTTTTTCTATGGAAAGCCAACTGTGTCACTTATAATGTAAAATCTGCGTAATAATGCTAAATGGTGCTGTTTTTGTTATTTTGTCGAAATAGGGAGAGCATAAAACATATTTTTTAAATTTTAAGGTATTAGACTTTACACCAGAATACCACCTCCGCTATGCCACTGATCAAGGTTGCTACGTAGCACCGTAAATACAATAGAAACTTATAGATAAATAATAATACAATAGTAACAATAATTGAAGCCTGCATCCTTTCACTGTCAAGGTATCATACTGTATCCATTAGACCACAGAGGATATACGTGCCGTTGTAACCCCAGGCACTTTCTCTCATACAACTGACTGAAACGCCCAAAATGGTGGAGCTGATTACGCTAGAAAAGCTAGTCTCGCATAGTAAATAATATTCAAATCAAGGTTGCTCCGTAGCACCGTAAATACAATAGAAACAAATAGATAAATAATAATAGCAGTTCTCAAAGAGGAACAAGTTGTAATAATCGTATCAAGCAAAGCCCATCAACGAAAAGTTTCTTTAAAATCATTTGTATGAAAAATAAACTGTCTCTGGCTGGATTCTTCAAACCTGCAAAATCTTGCTGTTAAGGCAAAGTTCATATCCATTAGGCCAAAGAGACCACCTGGGTGTATGTGCAGTTCTATCTATACTTGGAAGGCAAACATCTTAATCAGTAGCGGATTCAAGGAAATGCCCAGCTTGCCCAGGTAGGGAGGAGGCCCCCCTCTAAATAGATTGTTCAAATTTTGTGAAAAATGGAGGTATAACGAAAATTATGTTCAAATTTAAAGTCTGACAGTGCAATTTCCGGCCATCTAGAAGTGCCATAATCACAAATTTCCTTACCTCAGCCTTAACCCATGAGGGGCTGAGGTGGTATAGATCCCCTATCTGTAGAAGTACCTCCCCGTGCCCTCTCTATTTTGAGTTTCTGGATCCTCCACTGTTAATCAGCAAGCTACAGCTTCACTTACATTAATGCAAGTCGCACAGAAATCGGTATGATTTTCTGCACTTGTGAGCAAACATGAAACTCACAGAATATAACCCATCTCCCACAAATTCATGATACTTGCATAATATTTTATTTAGCTGTTCAGCCTTTGGGTACCACCACACGCAGCAAAATAAAAATAGATGTGTTTTGAATGCTTGTTTAACCAGACCTCCCAGAAGTGGCTTCTTCCAACTTGTGACCCCTAGTTATAATAGTGTACACTATATGAGTTTTGTTTATATACTTGATGTGAAATCCAAATAAACTTTGATGGCAACAAATCTTTCAAGTTGATCGTAAAAAGATGGGCCTCAGTTGATATCATATTTAGAATATTCCTCTCTGGAATTTATTATGCTAACATGCATTGGTGTGCGATATGCCCCCATTTAATGCTTAACCCTTGTAAAATAAGAAAATGTATCGTCATGAACACAATCAGTGGAAATGTTATCATACCAAACTATAGAATGCGGAGTATGATGATGGTGTAGGAGTGTTTTCTGTATATTGTCATTAATATTGTTATTTTCATAGAGTCTTGTCAATTTTAATATCATCATGTTTAAGAGTGTTATAGTACTTTCAGGAATCTCTGATAAACATTACAGTGAGCTGTTGCTGAATATGTCAGAATGGTATGATGCAATTAGCTCCATCAGTTGGCCAAAAGTATTGTACAGAGATCATGCAACTCATGTTTATATATATATAATGCTACTAAGACGACGTTCCGGAAACTATGGTCCGCTGCCCAATGGAAAAAAATAACAAAGAGACGTTTCATCATGGAGAAAATAGTTTTTAATAAATCCTTTCATTGTTAAATACAGTACAGCGAATGCTTCGCTTGCACACGCTGCTAAAGTGAAATATGATGCGTGTTATTTGAGTTACAAGCGGTTTTGTGTATGCTTTCTCGGGAGCTAGACACTGCATAACTATATACAGTATGTTATCGTCTAATATTAACCCTGTAAGATCGAGTAAATCGGGTATGGAGGAATAATGGGATGAATTACCATATAAGCTAAGGATAAAATTAAATAGAAGGCCTGTCCTAGAGAGATCACTGCAGTAAACAATACCACACATTTGATTAAACCAAATGCCCATGTAGATACTTTATTACTAAACATAATACCTGTATAATAAGTTAGTCTTTCAAAGTTGCAGAGTAACCGAGTGTGCGTGAAAGTTTCTGGAAGAAGGAGACAGCTTATGACGTGTGTGGCTGAGTAGCTGTATTTGCAGGGTTCCCGGCCTTGGTCCATTATTAATCAAATGTATATGTCATTTTTGTTAATAATAACGACCAAGGACGGGGTCCTGCAAATAATATACAGAATTTTGTAAAAACGATCAAGGTCGGGAATCCTGCTAATATAGAATTTTGTAAACGACCTAACAATGACGTCATCGGGGGTCACGTGACCTCATTTGACCCCGATGACGTCACGTGACCCCGATGACGTCATCACAAAAGGTCATTTCCATAAAACAGTCACGTAATCTAAATTCGTTTCCCGCTTGCAGCCTCTTGAGCCAATCTCGTTTTTAGCGAGTCGATCGCACTCTTACCCTTTGCTATGGCATCTTGCTTCATCTCTTGATACTTGGTATATTCCTCGAGTACGAGTTTAAACTCTTGATCGCTAATTACGTTATCCTCCAAAGCGGCGGAAACGATGCTATCGATCGTGCTCAGTTTGGTCTTGCAAATAATCTGTACGGTTTTGTGTTTTTCGCTCTTTTTCTCCAACAACTTGCTCAGATATTTTCCTCCGTAATTTAACCCGCAACAGACGGCCGCCAACGAACCGAGTCCGATGGACAAGGGGCCCATCACGACCGTACTTGCAACTCCGATTGCACCTGCGGCGGAAACGATAGACAGGGTATTCAGACCGGTATCGATCCAGTCTACGATGCTCTGAGTCTTTTTATATTTTTTGTACATTTCCCCCCGTCCAACCTCATCGTTTTTAATATCATCTAGCATCTCGCTAATCTTGTTCAATCTAAATTTTTCCGCCTCGAGCGGTACCGGTTTTACCGCCGGCGACGGGGTCGCTACGTCTGCAGCTATTACGTCCATTTTTTTATTACACCACCTTTTTAATTACAGTCTCGATCGTAACGTCTGCATCTCTATTATCTACAAGTTTGTTTTGTTCGTCCGTTATTTT